ATCTATCTATCTATCTATCTATCTATCTATCTATCTATCTATCTATCTATCTATCTATCTATCTATCTATCTATCTGTCATCTTATCATCCATTCATATCTATCATGTCATCCCTTATCCATCATCATCCATGTCTGTCTGTCTGTCTAGCTAGCTATCATCCATCATTCATCCATATCTGTATCTATTTGTCTATCTGTCTATCTGTCTATCTATCTATCTATCTATCTATCTATCTATCTATCTATCTATCTATCTATCATCTATCTATCTATCTATCTATCTATCTATCTATCTATCTATCTATCTATCTATCTATCTATCTATATCATATGTCAATCATTATCCATCATCATCCATATCTGTCTCTGTCTATCTATCATCCGTCATCCATCATCCATCCATCCATCTCTATCTGTGTCTCTGTCCATCCATCCATCCATCCCTCTATCTTATGTCTATCTAATTTTTACCTAAAAGTTAAAAGATAAACACAAAAAAGAATTTAAAAAGTAGGAAAGAAAGAAAGATAAAGAAAAAAGTGTTAAAAGTAATAGAGAATGAGGAAAAAGGGATGTATTTGAAAGACACTTAAAGAAGTGACTTCCAATCTTTTCAGCAGACCTACTTGATAACCATTCCCCTCCCCTTCACGATTATAGTTCCTTTCTTCCCACATGTAAACATTTTTAATCAATAAATCTGGAAATCACCCGTTCATTTTTATCCATGAAGCAAACTGTTCTCAGTAAAATTCCTATTAGTGAAAAATATTCCAATTAACAAATGCATTTACAAAATAGCTGAGAGTATCACCTATACCAGGGGTGGGCAACCTTGGCTCTTTTATGACTCGTGGACTTCAACTCCCAGAATTCCTGAGCCAGCCTGGCTCAGCTTGGAAACCTCTCCCTTTCCCCTCAGCATGGCTGGCTCAGGAATTCTGGGAGTTGAAGTCCACGAGTCATAAAAGAGCCAAGGTGGCCTACCCCTGGCTTAGGGGCATTCATATCCTCAAAAACTGCAAAACTCTGATAAAGGGGGACATTTGATAGCAGTGAGGGGAGGGGGGAAATCAAGCATTCTCCCTACAATGGATGATTGGCCACAAAAGCTGATGGAGTTAGCAGAGATGGCTAAATTGACTGCTTTAATTAAAGAAAAGAATACAATAAACTTTACTTCTACTTGGAAACCACTTCTGGACTTTGTGCTTGTGGTGGGAAAAAAAATGGAACTTTAATTTTGGATTGTGCTGGTTAGACAGATTTGTTGTTATAGAAATGACCAGTATATATTATTATGCAAAAGTAAAAAAAAAAAGTGAGGCTGTATGTTATCACCTTATTCTGTGCTAAAAAGAGTCGGAAGTCAATGACTTTTTTTCTTTTCCCCTTTTTTCTTACATTTTTTCCTATTCCCCCTTCCCTCCCTGACCTTCCCATTATTTTAATTTTTCTTCATGTTTTATACTTTGATAAACTGATAAAAAAAAATTGTCAGCAGAAGAAAGAAAAAAAATCAAAGCATGCTTCATCGTAAATAAAAGGAGATTTAATGCACTTTTTTTTTTTGGAAACTGTCCGCAAGGCTTCGGGGCATGGTTAAAAGATTTTTCTCTCGCTCTTGCAGGTAACAGAAGGGAGAATAGGGTTAAAGTGGAGAATTTTCAGGGTGGAGAAGATGCAGAAGAGCCGTGCAGGAGAGACCCCGTGATAAGCCCTGGGAATCTGCCATCATTAAAAGATGAAATGGAAGAAGAAAGCTGTGAATCCAATCAGCAGAGATGGAGGCCACCGCTAGAAATTGAGGATACGCACAACAGACTTGAAAAGGATCTTACTACTGCTGTGACAGAAAAGACCAACAAGGGTAAAGTGTCCAAGTTCTCCCAGTATGATAGAAGATACCTCTACCAGGTGGAATTAAATCCAATAACTTCTACGGAGAAATTGGAGCAATATCCTCAAAGATTTGAGGACAGCTACCAGCGTGCTTCAAACGTGAATCAAGAGGAGAAACGCATCATAAGTGAGCAAAGGGTTGAAATCTCTGAGAATGGAACAGGGAATAACTTGAACGCTTACCTAAGTGACCATCTCGGAGAAACACACAACAATTCTCCTGAATGTGGGAAAACCTTTACGAACACAAACTCACTAAGCAGGTTTCCGGTGTGCACTTCTGAAGAGGAATGGTACGAGTGTTCCCACTGTGGGAAGGGCTTCAACAAGGCAAAATACTGGAAGCAGCACCAGAAAATTCACACCGGGGAGAAGCCGTACAAATGTTCCCACTGTGGGAAATGCTTCAATCAGTCGGGAAATCTGAAGACCCACCAAAGGATTCACACTGGCGAGAGACCCTACAAATGTTCCCAGTGTGGGAAATGCTTCAGTCACACCAACTGCTTGAAGATGCACCAGAGGATTCACACTGGGGAGACCTACAAATGTACTCAGTGTGGGAAATGCTTCAGAGAGACGGGAATCCTGAAGAGGCATCAACGGACTCATACCCGAGAGAGACCCTACAAATGTTCCCAGTGTGGGAAATGCTTCAGCCTGTCGGGAATCCTGAAGAGACATCAAAGGACCCACACTGGGGAAAGACCCTACAAATGTTCTCAGTGTGGGAAGGGCTTCAATCAGATGGGAACGCTGAAGAAACACCAGCGAATCCACACAGGAGAGAAGCCGTACAAATGTTCTCACTGCCAGAAATGCTTCAACGAGAGAGGAAATTTGAAGAGGCATCAGAGAATCCATGCCCGAGAGAGCCTTAATATCATTCAAGAATTCATCCTGGAAAACGACCATATCAATGTTATCAAGGTGGGAAAGACTTCTTCTGCAGAACAAGAATTCTAAAGTGACTTAAAAAAGTAATAATAATCCTGCTCGATGGACACATTTAGGACATTCTTAGTAAGTAATGTCTAGAATAGGGATCTCCAAACTTGGCAGCTTTAAGACGTGTGGAGTTCAACTCCCATTTCCAATTCTGGGAGCTGAAGTCCACAAGTCTTAAAGTTGACAAGACTTATGGACTTCAACTCCCAGGATTCCCCAGCCAGCATGGCTAGTTGAGGAATTCTGGGGGATGAAGTCCATAAGTCTTGCCAGGTTTGGAGACCCTGGTCTAATGCAGGGGTAGGCAGCCTTGGCTCTTTTATGACTCGTGGACTTCAACTCCCAGAATTCTTGAGCCAGCCATGCTGAGGGGAAAGAAAGAGGTTTCCAAGCTGAGCCATGCCGGCTCAGGAATTCTGGGAGTTGAAGTCCACGAGTCATAAAAGAGCCAAGGTTGCCTAACCCTGGTCTAGGGGATAGGTTGAACAGATCGCCGCTTCTACCTATAAAGAAAAATCATAGCATTCGGAATAAATTGTTAAACTATCCAGAATGATGGGGGATTCTCTCTTCATTGATTTGACCCAGTAGCGCTTGGCAGAATATCTGCGATGGACTATTTCAACTCGGATTCCTGCACAGAAGCGGGATTGGATTTGATGGCTTTTTCTCCATTTTTTCTACAATCGTATGCCAGAGATAACATTATTATAAATATTCTCAGTGAAATAGTTATGCAGCAGAGCTGGAGGGACACCTGACACAGAATCTGCACAGAAAGTAAAGATTCAACTATGTGAAATCAAGTAAGAAATTTGGCCACGCTTTTGTGCCACGAAATGTGCAGAAGGCTTCTGCGGACATCCCTTGTATTTCTCCATCACCTTGCTGAATAAAACCAACTTTTTCATTTTATACTATTTGTATAGACATTTATGAGGTAGGAAATAAACAGAAATGAAAACTGTCTGGATTCCCAGCATTGATTTTTGTCTTTTTCACTGTGGCTGTTCAACTCGACTGGGTCGAGTTTTCCATCAGGACCTCTTATTATGTTAACAGGGAGTCCTTGACTTACGGCCAGGCGTTTAACAACCATTCAAGGTTACAATGGTGCTGGAAAAAAAGGTAACGTATGACCTGGTTTCACACTTGATGACTTCACAGTCCCCTCCCCATTTGACAACTGGGATTTATTTATGGCAGGGGTGTCAAACTCAATTTCATTGAGGGCCGCATCAGCATTGCAGTTGCCCTTGGGGGGGCGGGTGGGTGTGGCCAGGGTGGGTGCGGCCTACTGGGTAGGTGTGAATGGAGTGGGTGTGGCCTATTGGGTGAGCATGGCCAGCTCTACATCGTTCGCGTCAAGGGTGCCTGTGGGGGCCTGGGCAGGAGTGGGACAGATCTGAGGGTCTCTGGGAGAAGGGGGTGGGACCGGGACAAGTGCCAAGGCATGGTCCACTGAAGGAGCCTCACTGTTCCCCTCAGGCCATTTAGCGGGGGCTGGATGGTGGTGCGGGCTGCTCGGAGCCCTGGGCAGCAGAGGTCAAACGCCCAGCCTGGCCCTCGAGCACCCGTGGCACCAAGCCCAGCCCCACTTCCCCAAGGGGGCGCCCAGCTGCACTTACCTCCTCCTCAAGGCTGCCGTTGCTGTGCTTGCTCTCCTTAGCCAGGTTGTTCATGATGGGTACCAGGGCAAAGTCAGAGGGAGACTGAATGCGTTTCAGCATAGATGGCCACCACAAAATTGTACATTGGCTCCCGGCCGGCCTGGGCCAGGGTCAAGGCAGTGGGGACCGTTCCCTCACTGTTTCCAGGATGGCTTCGCGGGCCACATGAAACCACTTTGTGGGCCGCATCCGGCCCCTGGGCCTTGTGTTTGACATGTCTGATTTATGGTTTGTGCAATAGTGAATGGAGAAAATGTGACAGTGATACAAAAGGAGACGGAGTGTTGGTGGCAGAAAGTCTGCTTGGAGTGGGGTGGACAGGAGCCCCTTGTAGTCTAGCCCAACCCAGCTCAAAACCCAGGAGACTACAGTTAGTCCTTGTGTCAAAGCAAGAATATACAGTATCCTTTTAAGTGTTTCGTTAATCAGACACATGACACCTTGACTTGCAACCGTAATTAAGCCTGGAATCAAGGTCGTAAGTTGTGCCGCTGGTTAAATGGGTCATCGCATCACCAACCTGATTTTATGACATTTATTGTGGCAGTCATTAAGTGAACCCTGTGACTGGAGCCGTGGTGGTGCAGTGGTTAGAATGCACTATTGCAGGCTAACTCACTGCTCACAGCCAGGAGTTCGATCCTGACCGGCTCAAGGTTGTCTCAGCCTTCCATCTTTCCAAGGTCGGTAAAATGAGGACCCAGATTGTTTGGGTCAATATCTGTAAACCTCTTGGAGAGGGCTGTAAAGCACTGTGAGGCGGTATATAAGTCTAAGGAATTACCTTTTCTGTTTTAACCCACAATGATGCTAAGCAAGCTCTGTTAAATACTGGAGCTGAGACTTCTTTTATTAAGCACTTTTCTTTGAGTAAATAAATCTCCATTGCAGCCCCATCTGCTTCACAGTCCTCTGACCTGGAGGCTTTGGTCCCAGGGGCTAACCAAACCCATTGTGGACACGTGTTAATGCACAGGTAGAGATCGCCAGGCCCCTGGTAACCCTCCAGAAGCAGTACCCCAAAACCAAAGGCTGCTGAAACAGATATCACAGAGGTCATCTGCCACTTAGAAAAGGAAGGTATTCTAAATAAACCAATAAACTTCTTTAACTGGCCCCCTCTGGACCGTTCTGATATAGGATTTGCGGGCTAGAGAATTTATCCAAGCCTGATCTGGTTTTTTTGCCTCCATTTTTGAGCAAAACACACGGCATGGATTTTTTGCTTTGGGTTTGAATTACTCAAAACCTCATGTCTCCTTTAGCTTCTCCAACTTCAGACAAATCTGGTTTAATGATGGGGCTTCATGGTGGGAGGATGGGACTCAAAATACTGCCTCTGTTGCTGTTTCTACCAGAGATTTAAAGTTCGGGACACTTTTGCCAAATTCTTACAGCACACAAGAGGCAGAACTAGAGATTGCTCAACAGACACATGCCTTAGTAGAGTAACTACATCGGGGGAAACAGGAACAGATTATTTTGGCCCATGAGGGACCAGAGAAGCTATCTAGCTGTAATATGATCCAATCAGTGGCAAGGAGGCCAACACGTTGTTGCTAATTGCCAAAACAGGAACTACTCCAAGTTGCAACTCCCATTCTATGGACAAAGACAGATTGGTACATGGGACACCATTTTCCTGAATTACATTGAGGCCTTTTCTGAATGGGTGGAAGCTTTCTCCATGTGCAATAAAATTGCAGATGCCACTGCAAGGTTATTGCCCCCACGGGTCTTTTGTCGTTGGGGCCTGCCATTCCAGATCTCAACAGAAAAGAGCACACATCTTGTGTTACTCGACTCTTTGAAGCCTTTACCCCACAACTGGGAATAAAGAAACTCTTGTCTCCAACACCCACATGCACGGGCAGACTTTTTGCCAACCATTCTAGCAGCTTTTAGGGGCTCCATCTCCAGGTCAGCTGGACACGACCCCTATGAAATCCTGTTTGGTTTCCCATGCGCTCTGATGTTCACTGGGAGACCAGGGGAGGATGCACTGTTTGGGAGTCCAGAATCTCTTAACAGAAATTGCCAAACCTAAGGCTGCTTCTGGAGACTCCAGAGCTGATTAGGGGATTGGAGGCTAAAACATATAAGGAACGGTTGCTGGAATTGGGTATGTCTAGTTCAATGAAGACAAGGACGAGGGGGGACATAATAGCAGTGTTCCAGTATCTAAGGGGCTGCCACAAAGAAGAGGGAGTCAAGCTATTCTCCAAAGCACCTGAAGGCAGGACAAGAAGCAACGGATGAAAACTAATCAAGGAGAGAAGCAATCTAGAACTAAGGAGAAACTTCCTGACAGAACAATTAACCAGTGGAACGACCTGCCTCCAGAAGCAGTCAATGCTCCAACACGCATCATCGGCCCATTAGCTATTTTACTCTGCAATGTGTTAAATTGATTCTCATCCGGCAGCCTGTTGGTGGATCTGATGATTGTAGCTCCCTCTCCCAAAGTTGTTCTTTGCAGGATCAGGGAGAGAGAGCTACAATCATCAGATCCACCAATAGGCTGCCAGATGAGAATCAATTTAACACATTGCAGAGTAACATAGCTAATGGGCCAACACGCTCTAGGAGCCGGGCGCAGAGACAGGCAGCTGTATATAGGCAAGCTCCCTAATCATCTGGCATTCTAACTCTGATGACGTCAGTAGTTTGGCTGATGAAAGCTCAGTAAGTAACTTTTTTACTCACAGGCTTGTTTATATTAAACGTTCCTGTTTATTTTTATCCTGGTGTTCGTTTTTCTTATATATATATATATATATATATATATATATATATATATATATATATATATATGTATGTATGTATGTATGTATGTATGTATGTATGTATGTATGTATGTATGTATGTATATGTATACGTATACTTTTATTGCATGGCTTTACCCAGGATTCGTATTTTTAATATAATTAGAGGTGTGTGTGTGTGTGTATGTATATATGTATGTGTATGTATATGTATGTATATGTATATATATGATATACATACACACACACACACACACACATATATATATGGTAAAAAAGGATATATAATACTACTACTACTACTACTACTACTACTACTACTACTACTACTACTAATAATAATAATAATAATAATAATAATAATAAAATAATAAAGTTGGAAGGGACCTTAGAGGTCACCTGGTCCAACCTCCTGCTCAGGCAGGAAACCCTATACCATTTCAGACAAATGGCTGTCCAGTCTCTTCTTTAAAACTTCCAA